ATTTTAGGCATTTATAGCAAGCACATTTTCTTTTTAAAATGTCCCTTTTTTCTTGTAATGATAAGCCTGAAACGAAACTACAGTCATAAGTCTTGTGAAATTGATTACAGAAGACGCAGTTCATATTTTCCTCTCTGCATTCAGATTTTGTAAACAAATCTGTAGCGGTCGGAATCTTTGGTTTATTATGTCTATTTGAGAGACCATATCATATGAAGTTTTGAAGAGACCATATCATAAGCTTTTCGTTGCAGGGGAGGGGGGGGAAGAAGACTGTCGCCGATCGGATACTTTTTGCTGTTGCGAAAGCGTTGACCTTGTGCGTTCGCGGGATGAAAGTTCTGCGTGTAAAAATGACATTAAATCTTTTATGTTATAATCGGTGCCAACATTTTGTGTTCTATGAAATTCAAGCGTTAATTCTGAAGGCAATAACTTCAAAATCATCGGACACAGCAAAGCGCTGTAAGATTCCGATACAACATCTAACGCTTCGAGACATCTAATCTGCGTTTGTACTTTATCATACAAGTTACGAAATGTTTTTATGTCATTCGCATTTTTTAATGATTCAATATTCAGCAAATTATTCATGTGCGCATTAATAAGAATGTCTCTCCTTCCAAAACGGTCGTGTAAGATTTGAATTGCTGAATCATAATGTTTGGCGATAACGGAAGTCCTTGAACGCAAGCTAGCAGCTGTTCCTCCTAAATATGCTTTCAGGTAATTAAATTTGTCTACTTTGTTCAATGATTCGTTATTATGTATTGAGGACTCAAAACTATTCCAAAAAGTAAGCCATTGTCTACTACTGTTCCCATAAAATACGGGAATCGAAAGTTTTGGTAATTTAACATTAGGTGTATGTCTTTATATTTTGCTGTGTGTTCGGTGCATTTAAGTCATTATCCTGGACCGAAACTACTGAAATCTTCGCAAGTCATGATTAAGTTCCTTAATCGTTTCGTTTCGTTTAAGCCTGAATTTCCATAACGTTATCTTCTCGCGATATTGTTCTGTAATTTCGAATTCATTTTCGAATTCATCTACGCTCAGAATTGGTTCAACTTCTACATCGGCATTAGCTAGTGTTTCGGTTTTAGCATTAAGCTGTTCTAACAATTCTTCGAGCTCATTAATACTACCTTCAGATTTATTTAATTCACTTTCGATTTTCTTAAATAGTTTTGTAACGGCAGTTCTTAAGATACTTCTTTTCTTTTTTAATTTATCTACTTCAGCCATTATCTTTCTTAGATTCAAACACTTACACAAAAAATATACGTCTCATGAAAAACAAATATTTAACTCTTACTTAGAAAACAAAATTATTCTTTTGCTGAATACTTCAAGAACAAGTATTAAAATCTTCAATTTTAATATTCAGCTTTTGAATTCACTTTATTAGAACTTTTCAAAAAACCTGGCGTCCCTGTTCGGGCGCCATAAAAATGTTGCATCAGGTTCTTCTATTTACAATAAAATTAATGTAAAATTCCTTACCTGCTGCATCTTCAGTGTTCTCGACGCCAGGCTTCTAATAATCACGTTTTCAGTAAGAGTTTCTATTACTGCTAACAAGCCATCTTGTCTTTTAATTATTTATTGAAATAAAAAGCTAATATACACTATTTACAAGGTAGGTGATAATTATTTTAAGACAGTACATTTTTAGTTCTGAGTCTTTACGCTCCTCAGAGCGGTTCCAATCTCGACTGGTTCTCGGAACTTAATTACAGCAAAAGTAAAGGAAGAGATGCCCGCCACCTAGTGGCAAGAATGTGACAATTCTCATAATCAAATCAGAAGAGTCTATCTATATAATAAAAGTTCACTTTTCCTTTTTATTTTGATGTAGTAAATGAAGTACATAAAAAATTTTCTGACCTATTAAATTATTTATATAGGAATAATTATTTTTTACACATGATGCATCTAGCGACGTGCGATCTTAGTAGAAACTTTAAGCGAAACGAGTTTCTTCTTTAACAAGAGGGCTCCTAGACTAAACAGTCTCTCTGGAAGCACTGTTGTGGCTATGCGCATGAGCCATTTTGCAATTCAGATGAAAATTTTTCGCTTGAAGTTTAGTCCTGCGTAGGTTTTAGGGTTGGGGTCAACTAATCAGATATCTCGAAGCGAAGATTTCCAGCAATGTTTTTTCTGGAATCACGGGTAGCTTGCAGGTTTGAAAACGGTTTTGTACTTTTTATAGAAGTCCGGAAAATCGGTGAGGCTAACATTCCATTTACCCTTCACTCATCTGGATTAGTTGAGTTTTAAATTTAGTACTAAAGAGTACTACATTATATAATACACGTGTAAAAGCTAATGTGAAGTAAATGCAGAATTTTAAGAATTTATTTTTAATTTGAAACGCAGTGCTGTATATAACAAAATTTTGAAGTAAGGGTTCATTTTGAATAAACTAAAAATAATTAGAAAATTATTTTCTTGTTCATAGCATGTATATAAGCATGGGATTTTACTCATGTTATAAGGTATTTCTCCCGCCTTCTTAGCATGCCTTCGTGAGCACTCGAGAAGTCCGAGGTTCGAGTCCCGGGGAGGGAATTGCTCATTTTTCATGTCTCCCGCTTCGAAATAACCTAATGTCTGTATAGTGGCGCCCGAACCACTGTAAGTTGACAAATGATAATTCTTCATTCCCAGGATTTGGCGACTAGGGTCCCCTAATCCCCAATCGCCCTTTAAAAGGGGGAGTATATAAGATATTTCTCCCGCCTTCTTAACATGTCTTCGTGGTGTAATGGCCAGCAAACTCGGAGCGTATTCGAGAGGTCTGAGGTTTCAGTCTCGGAGAGGACATTGCTCATTTTTCGTGTCTCCTGCTTCGAAAAATTTGAGCTTTCATCTATATGTTTTTTAATGATGCGTGTATTTGCCGTGTGCGTGTAAGGTTTTTCGACAGAAGTTTCTTTGAATGGCTTTTATTTGGTCATTGTTTCAAAGAGATATCTTTGGATTCTGTGCAATTTCCTCGGAAGCATTAAAATAGATTCAAATATGAAAGTATCACAGTTGTTCAAATTCTTTACCGACAGTTGTAATATACCACTGTGTCATAATTTTGCACTGGATGATGATGCATTACACTGAGTCATCTACATTCATTCAGCCATCAGAGAAGTGGTAAATGCGGAAATATTACAACCTAACTCATGCATAGGGCAGGACAGGAAGAAACATCGTTTTGAGGCCATCTCACCAGCATAGTTAATTAACATTTAGGTATAATCCCTATAATATTCAATCTAGATTCACTCACACACAGATGGGTCAGCATTACGTAAACCTCCTGCTCATAGGATTTTCAGCAGAGTCGAACTAGAATATACCTTCTTTATGTTATTTTACCTCTGTCAAGCTTGTCTTTCATTTTTTCGAGGGTGCTGTTCTTGATTTTGCCATCACATTTGTGTTAAGAAGTTTTATTGATGGGACTATAAATCTCTCATTTTTTCAGCGGAAAAAATCATTGATCTCTTCAATTAATGCATGCTCGATAACTTTCACGTGTTAGTAAACCTAACTGTTTGTTGGTATGTTATACAGTAAGAACTTACTATTTATATTTATTGTCAGATAACTGAATCGCAATACTGCAAACATTTTAGAAATTAGAAACATTACGTTGTTGTGACTTATCTCACTTGTCTGACAGTATTATCAAAATAAGCGTGACAAATAAAGCCTACGAAATTCATCGCCACAATAAGTTCGAAATTGCTCCTGTTGTTGTCAAAAGCCTTGATCGCCATACAGGTGACAGTATGACTTTGCTCAATTCTGCACTCAATTTTGATGGAGAGCACCATTGGGAAACAGGCCGGAGGTTGTCCCACCCCTTTTTCCCCTACCACAACCTCTCGAGAGGACTTTCGGTTCGCCGCATAGACTGTCCTATGCCGCACGAACACTAATCATTTACAAACATCCATACCTTCTCTGGGATCCGAACCAGGGCTTTTCGATATGCTAGTCAGCGTCACTAATTACTATCCCGGTTGGACGACAGAAACATTACTGTTTATTAGATTTAATTTAAATGTACTGTTGTAATTTAAATTCAAAAGGGCAGCCAAAATAATCTCACAGATAATCTTGAGATAATATAAAGCGAAAAATCATCTATCTTTTTTCCCCAATTTAATCGACATTTTTAAAATGTATTATGAGATTTTTTTCGAAAGCATACAGAGATTTAAGGATGGCAGTGGGAAACTAGTTTTCGCAGCAGTGAGCTGATTTCTACATAAATCTTTCGTTAACCATTATGAGAGAAATCATGCATAAAATGAAGGTAAAATGTGAGGAATGTCCTGGATTATATTCTGTAGTTTGATCTTAGTTCTGATACTATAATCGGGCCAACAAGTGTCTTTAAACAGAATTTTACTTCCGATTTATTCTGTTTCCTTTGCAATACGGGAAAGATAAAAAAAAAGTTGCAAAACTTTGATGATTTTATTTCTGTTGAGCTTGATAGAGGAAAAATTAACTATACATTGCAATCTTTTTTTTTTCAAATATTTACTCAATCTACATTACTAATTATATGAAAAATATTAAACTCTTTGCAGTTTGAAACAGAATATCGGTATGAACTATTTTAAAAGCATAAAAGACTATAATAATAAATATCAAATATTGAATGACAAATATATATATCGAAATGAAAATCATGTGTAATATTTTTATATATTATGTTCCACTCGATGTTTCTAACACAGTATTTAAGACTTGAAATACTGTGTTAGAAATTTGTTTGAGAAAAATTAGTATTAGTTAAGATTTAATTCAAAATAATACTCTTTAATGTTTCGATTATCGACCGAATGTCTGAAAATTTTGTTACTTAAATTCTTATTTTGTTGTTATTTTGACATACTGATTTTATTAATGTTTTTATTTAACTTTGCAGTTACGTTTAATGTTTTTATTTAACTTTATTAACTATTTTATTTAACTAACAGGTGGCTCTGCAGGTGGATTCGGATCTTCGGTGATGTCTTCCATGTAACAGATATTTTTGATAACAGATATTTGCCTAAGTGGGGAACCAAAAATGTGTAAAATAAAAATATTTGAAGTCACGTAATTCTGGAGTTCGGGATTTAATTACAAACTGATTTCATTTATGATGAAAATGGAGTTCAAATCAAATATTTTTAAAATTTTGCTGAAAATTCGAATTTATAAAACAAAATCTTGAAAAGGTTTGAGGAGTAATAAAACGATTGTCGCGCCTCCTATTTTACAATTACCATCGTAACACTGACTTAATGAACGAAAACAATAACAGACTCTCCGCTGCAATACAATATAACAGACTCAATAAAGTTTTCCGCAGACATAAAATAAAGCCTGTAGCGAAGCATCTAGCTGTAACTCTTGTTTTGGAACCTTACTTAAAGTAAATTTTAGTTTTAAAGAAGAAAATTATAATATAAGGGCCTTTTCATGTGTATATCTGGAAATAAAATCTGGTTGGAAAAGTAAAAAGTCAGATTCATCTCTTATTTAACAACGACTAATGTTAGTGATTAAGAGCAGCGCATTTAAAAGAAATTCAAAGTGATAAGCAGTCTCCTCTAATTATAAGTCGTAATTAAAAATATGTATTGCATAAACTTCTGTTATCCTAATGTAACGAATGTTTTCATAAATTTGTGAATTTAATGGAGCTAAAAAAGATTAAGAACTAATAATTAACTATTTGCAAACTAAGAGGCTATCTTGAGGCCTCTTTAGAGCAATTAAATGATGGATAGTCAATTATTTTGGCTCCATTTGCACAATTTTTGGAAAAGCTGAATTTAAAAATCCATTTACTAATATTTATTGTAGCAAGAGTTAATTGAAAGTAAAAAGGAAATTAAAATGGAAAGTATCTGTTAGAAAATTAATAACATTAGTAACAAATTAAGGAACAATTCCCAAAAAATAATTAATTATCATTACATTTTTATGCACAAGTTAATATTGCAAAAGGGCATCACATTGAAAGGTATCACATCACAATCCCTCGAATGGAACGCTGTAAAGAGCATAAAAATTCACTTTCAGATGTGAAAAAAATTGTTGAACTTGCTTTATAATTCTTCTAAAGGGTAATACAAATGAAACATGAAATTTTTCAGTTAGAAAAGAATAGCCATGGGTTTGGAAAGCTTGTGAATCAATTGTGCAAAGTTACTTGAGGTTATAATATTTCTCTACATTTAAAATCACTTGAATAATTAATCACTTGTATGCTATGGAAAATTTTAGCTTCATGTTATCATTTTTAATTTCGAATTTTTTCTTGCTGTTTTTATGTTGCTATAATATCGTTTTCTATTTAGATATTATATTTAGATATTTCTAATATAGAAAAAAATCAGAAATTGGAAGCACTTGTAAATAAAAGGTAGTGAACATGTTTTATTCTATTTAACATAGAAAAAATCAGAAATTGTAATTACTTGTAAATAAAATATAGCGAGCAAGTTATTCTTAGTTTTTACGTTAGTTTTCTCTAAGTTTTTAGCCTTTTTGCCTAACACGTTTTTCCCAAATTTTCCAAAATGTTTCAAATAAAATAGACAAAAATTCAGGCAAGGAAATTTATTCTCCAGGAAAACAAGAGTTAAGCAACTTCGTAATGCTTATTCTGAATATAAATCTGAACTCTGAATATAAAAACTGTAAAGTTAATCCATGATATATGACGCAAAGAATGTGTTTACAGATTCAGAAAAACAGAAAATAAAATGACTTCTTCTGATTGCAAAGGGGTATAATTATTTTTCGAAACTCTCCATATAATCATTGCAATAAAATTTCACCTAAAAATCAGTCATCATGTTTCTTTGCGATCGTTGGACATCATACATAAATTATTCTTGTGGGTATAATGACATGCGTTCTTTCATGTTATTGAAAAGGAAAATTTCCCCCTGCAGATATTAAAGATTCAATGGACTTAAGGAAAAAGAAAACTTCTGCTCATTCAGGTATTGATCAAGTAAAAATAACTGACTAGCATATTTTAGCTATTGTACTTTTAAGTGGTTATACATCCAGGATTTATTGTGCTTTATGCATTAAATGCAAGGATAAAATTACGGATAGAAATATTTTGTCTCTTGGAATATGTTTTAGAAACAAAATTTTAAGCTGTTAAAAATAGAAATTGGCTAGAAAGCAGTTTCTTTGAAAATCAACGGATTTCATGGTAGCCAATGATGCAAAATTAGATGACTTCTTTAAAATTGTTCGCCATGATCCATTTTCTATGCGATAGGCATTTTTAATCCATTAAAATTTTTCTACGAAATTTCTGTTGCACACTTTATCCTTGCTCATCTCTATGATAGAAATTTATCAACCACTAATCTGTGCACATGCGGGGAAAGGGAAGATTCTAACCATTACCTCTTTCTTTGCTTTTTTTTTTATTTTTTTTTATTGAAAATTTTAAATCCTTGTGCACCACATAGTATTACACAAGGCTTACAGAGTAAGTAAAAAAAACATACAAATACAACAACACAACACAAAATAAAATAAACTTACAAATTCACAGATGATACGTAAGAGATAAATTTACAGAAAAAAGAGAAAGTCATTTTATGTTGGACAAATACATGAAGAGGGAGAGGAAATGTAATATTCACAGAGTTTAACCTAGAAATGAGTTCCTTTTGTCCTTCCTTGAGCTTTGAACAATAGAACAACAAATGTTCGACATTTTGCACTCCCCCGAAACTGCATGAACACAAGTATGTACTAGATAATCTAAATCTCTTCAGATATGAATTGAATTTACCATGTCCAGTTAGAAATTGAGTAACTTCAAATTGCAGAAAAAATGTTTATTATTCAGTCTGTGAGGAATGGAAGGAAAATATAGTTTAGTCAAAGAGGCAGTAGTAGAATACCTGTATAGTTCATTTCACTCGAGTATTGTATCATCCCTACTTTTGTTCTTGTAAAATGACTTAGGAAGTATCATTGGAGTAATTACTTGAAGATGCGTAGCTTGTTTTGCCAACCAATCAGCCCTTTCATTTCCTAGATTGCCAGTGTGGCCACGTACATGAGAAAAGATAACATCAACACCTTTATTATTAAGGTCTTTAAGAAGAGCATAGGAAGTCACAATTAATTTATTATATGAGAAGATATTCCTAAGAGAAAATAAGGATGAAAGAGAATCAGTGCGAATAAGAAATTTAGCACTTAGCGAACAGTTGTTAGATATCCACTTAATTGACTCACTAATGCACAGTAATTCGGCTTGGAAAACACTGCATTCATTGGGAATTCTAAAGAGTTTGTATTCCAGTTCAGAACCATTAAGGAAAACGACATAAGCTAATCCAACTCGATTATTAATTTTACTGCCATCTGTATAACACACAACAGGGAAATTATTATCAACAGAATTGTCATAAATGATAGTTTGAATTGGCAAACGATTGCCAGGATGAGGAAGATCTTCAAACAACACCTTGCCATCGAACATAAATTTGCTGATGGTATCTTTAAACTTTTTGTCATTCAAAACATGAAGGTCAATCGCTTTCTTTGCTTATCTTCTAACTAAGAGATTTCACATTAGATAACCAAATAGTTATGATATCAAATTTAAAAGATGTTTTTTTCTTGGTACATTATCTTAAGTAGAATCTGCCGTCTATTATCTACATCAACAAGACCTGTACTTGTGTACCCCATAAACTCTACTCTAATATGTTCTAATAATTTTGTGCATCTTTCAAATCAGATGATGGTGGTTCAGTGGGTTTACTAATTTTAACACTTTTTCATTTTTAACAATATTTTAATTACTATATACAGAGCGTATTCTTAGGCCGCCGCCTTCAACATGAACAAACTTTATTCTCTTACAACTAAGCGAGCAACAGCGCCCTCTAGCCTTTTTCTTCAAATTACACAACACTCCCCACCTGAACTCGGTGGAGAGTTCATCTTTCAATAATATATTCTAGAATTCAATTCAAATATTTCGACAATAAATCCTGGAGAAATGGTTAATATAACACATGCATACATAATTATAAGCACATAAAATTTTACAAAACATTAAATGATACCTATCAGCAAGGTCAGGAGAATCAAACCTAAAAATACAAAATACAAACATTAGTTAAGTTCCATATTATATAACAATTGTATAGGCCTTTTTAAGGTACCAGTAGGTGTTTTTTTTAATTATGCAAGATCTTATTTTACCATCTCTGCCTGGCATTAATTCCAAAATTTTACCTATTGTCCAAAGATTTCTGGGATGTTTGTCGTCATGTCAGAAAAAATATCGTTGATTTTAAAACTGATGCGTTAGAGAGTGTGGAGGACAAATATTGGCAGATCTCAGATTAAAAAGATACTCTGATCTCCAACGCTTCCAAAAATGATTTAAAATATCTTGATGATATTTATATCGTTTAATAATTGAATTTCTTGACTCAATCAAATTATTTGATGTTTTTTATTAGCAGGCAGAGATAGCAATCGTCTACCAACCAGAAAATGAGAGGGTGTTAGTGGAGAAGGTTCATTGGGATCGGTAAACACGTAGGTAATTGGTCTACAATTAATCATTGCCTGGATTTCACTGTTTCAAGCTCTTTCACAGTAAGGGATGCTCGACCAATAATTTTCGCAAGCTGGATTTTATGGTTCGTACCATACGCTCCCAAAACCCTCCCCACCATGGACCCCCCCTCTCAATAATAAATTTCCAATTTATGCCTCTAGCAGAAAAATAATTCTTTCACAGATGAGTCACTCAAAGTTTTAAAAATATGTTTTAGTTCTTTATCAGCTCTTTTAAAAGTCTTGGCATTATCGGAGTACACGGTGGTACACAGTCCTCGGCGAGCTAAAAATCTTCGGAAAGCTAGCAAAAAACTTTCAGTGCTGAGATCAGTTACTATCTCTATATGTAAGGCACGAGTGACCGCACACGTTAACAAAAGCATGTAAACTTTACCTTGTCTGTCTTTTGTAAAAAATGGACCGGCGAAGTCCAACCCGGTTACAGCAAATGGAGGCGATTCTTGGATTCTGTCTGGAGGAAGTAGTGTACCCCAGGACAAGCACTATATCGTTTACATATCACACATTTTCTGATGATAGTCTTAACACGCTGCTGTCTTCCCTTAATGATCCAATATTTGTCTCTGATCTGAGTTAGTGTCGAATTAACTCCAGCATGGAATACCCTTTCATGCGAGTCCATGATGATCAACTCGGTAAACTTGCATTTTGAGGGTAATAGAATAGGATGTTTTAAATTCTCGTGACAGTCTGCAAATTGAATGCGACCTTTCAACAGAAGAATTCCCTCCTCATCAAGCCTTGGATTAAGGGAGTAGATGGAAGAATCGAGAATTGATTTTTTATTTGATAACTTAATTATTTCCGCTTGATACGATTCTCGTTGCGTAATTTTTACCCAATAATGTTCAGCTGCTTTAATC